CCTTCCTCTGCCTGCTGGCACCAGTTTTCCTCTGGCGCCCAGAACCCAGGCCTTCGCTCTTTGCCTAGGAGGGGCCGGTGCAGCGGGCTCAGTGCTTAGCTCTGCGCCAGGGGTGGGGCCAGTGCGGCAGGCTCAGCGCTTAGCTCTGCACCGGCCACGCGGGCTCTGGGGGCGGGGCCGGCGCAGCAGGCGAGGGCCTTAGCCCTTTGCGGGCTTCGCTCTTCACTTGCCACGCCGGGCTTCGCTCGCTGCACCTGCCTGGGGCCAGCAGGCTTCACTCCATCGCTTGGCGCCTATATATGCAAATTAGCCGTCATCTTTGTTGGCGGTTAATTTGCATATCACGCTGATTAGCCAATGGGAAGCGTAGTGCAGGTTCGATCAATTACCCTTTTGTCTATTATTAGATTAGATAGTATTCCATTGTGTAGATGTACCACAGTTTTCTAATCCACTCATCTGCTGATGGGCACTTAGGCTGTTACCTCATTGTTGTTTTGATTTGCATCTCTTGGATGATTAGTGACTTTGAGCATGTTTTCATATGTCTCTGGGCTTTCTATATGTCCTTTCGAAAAGTGTCTATTTAGATCCTTTGCCCATTTTTTTATTGGATCATTTTCCCATGCAGTGGGCTTTCTTGTTGCTTTGTTGATGGCTTCTTTTGCTGTGCAGAAGCTTTTTATTTTGATGTAATCCCATTTATTTATTTTCTATTGCTATGACATATGTCTGCTATTTTGCTGCCTATCGGGTCTTATAGAATTTTTATGGTTTCCTGTCTTACATTTAAGTCCTTTAGCCATTTTGAGTTTGTTTTTGTGTATGGTGTAAGTTGGTAATCTAGTTTCATTGGAGCTTTTTTTTGTAAATATATTTTTATTGATTTCAGAGAGAGAAGGAGAGAGAGAGAGAAACATTAATAATGAGAGAGAATCATTGATTGGCTGCTTCCTGCATGCCCCACACTGGAGATTGGGCCAGCAACCCAGGTTCCTGGCTGGGAATTGAACCATGACCTCCTGGTTCATAGGTCAGACTTTGAGCCACACCGGCCAGGCCCTTGGAACTTCTTGCTCTCTTTCCTAGCCTTTGCCTTTGTTTCCCTCTCTCTGAATCATCGCCTTCATCTAAGTAGTTAGTCAGATGTCCTGTTAAAGATGTATTTTGTTTACTCGTTAATTGAAAATAGTTTCAAAATATCACCTAATTTTATTTAGCTACGTACAAATAAATCAAAAGTTCTATATCTGTTTTCATTATATCAGTGTTAATCTTAAATGTCAAGACTTGTTTATGTTTCTTATTAATGAATGAATTCATTCATTTTTCAGCTAAAGGTTATGCTGAATTACCTGAGGGATGCAGCAAATATATTTGTTCCAAGTGGAAAACTCATGCAGATAGTGGATCAAAAGTTGGTAAGAAATATTATGTCCTACAATAAATTTAGAAACACACAGTTCAGAAAGGCTCTGGTATTAAAGGCATAATTTTACAACCTCTTCTAAGGAGCTTGGACACGTTTGCTTTTATTCTAGACAACTGTCACAACTTCGGGGACTGGACATTCTAGGGCAGTGATGGCGAACCTATGACACGCGTGTCAGGTGACACGCGAACTCATTTCTTTGGTTGATTTTTCTTCGTTAAATGGCATTTAAATATGTAAAATAAATATCAAAAATATAAATCTTTGTTTTACTATGGTTGCAGATATCAAAAAATTTCTATATGTGACACAGCACCAGAGTTAAGTTAGGGTTTTTCAAAATCCTGACACGCCGAGCTCAAAAAGTTCACCATCACTGTTCTAGGGCTTAGTTCTATCAGAGCAGGGACATGAAATAGCATGGCCAATTTTGGCTGTTAACTGCTCTTCAGTGTTTTTAAAAGTCTTGATAATTTTACAGAGCAGTGGGCAAAATATACCTATTTCATCTGGGAGTATGTATGGCGTTTCCTTCCCCGTAATGTACACTTGGGCTTTCAAGTTCGTTATTTGACATTTGGTATTTTTCTTAAGTGCTTTGCCAGGACACCAGAGTTTTTTTGGGGGGAGGGGGCAGTTCATGCATTGAAGGATGCCAGTGGCAGCATCTTTGGATGCCAGTAGTACCTCTTCAGTTGTGGCAACTGAAACTGTTTCTGGATGTCACCAAATCTCCCCAGGGTTGGGGTTGAGGGGAGCCACCTCTGGTTGAGAACCATCCCCCCCAGATGCCCTGGACATATTACCCCCATGAGACTGGCTCCTGCCAACCAGCAAACTTGCCCTCCCTCATGTGCATGCTCTCCCAGCCTTTCACAAAGGCTCTCCCTGTGGTTGTCCTAACCAGACCTCCTCCAAGTACATGTGGGCAGGAGCAGCAGCACAAGTCCTCCTCCTCTGCATGTCAGCAGGGGGCGCAGTGTGCAAAGGGTGCCCAGGCTTTACCATCCGACAACATTGAGGTTTTTGTTCTTTAAATTTTGGATTTGATTGAAGGTTGGATCAGTCACGTAATAAGCTGTGTGTCCTTGGACAAGTTTCTTATGGAACTTCAGCTTTCTCCCAGGGAGAATTACTAATGCACACTGTATATGGTGGTTGTAAGGATTAAATGACATACTATATGTAAATCACAGTGCCTGGATATGAGAAGTGGTTAATAAATGTTCAGTAAGGCATTGTTGTTTGTTAAATTGGAGGGAATATTCGTTGTGCACTGCCATAGGTCCCATTGCATATAAATATCAAGCTGGTGAAAAAATGAGACTTATACATTTTATTTATTTATATTTTTAAAATATGTTTTTATTGATTTCAGAGAAGAAGGGAGAGGGAGAGAGAGAAATACATCAGTGATGAGAGAGAGTCATTGATCGGCTGTCTCCTGCATGCCCCCCAACTGGGGATCAAGTCTACAACCTGGCTCTGTGCCCTTGACTGGAATTGAACCTGGGACCCTTCAGTCTGCCGGTTAATGCTGTATCCACTGAGCCAAACCAGCTACAGCGAGACTTGTACATTTTAAACTCGTTATCTTATTACCAAGAGGCTGTGTGAGCTTACATCTCAATCTCATTGCTGGAGAGTAGGTGCAGTTGAGGATAAAAGTATCATGTCCACCATTGATTTCGCCCCTGTGTCCATTGTTTGCCAACAGAATGCATAAACCGTCTTAGGCCAAGATCAGCTATTAACTGTAATAGAAGTTTTCATGAGTGACTAGAATACAGATGTTTGCTCTGTGGGGGAAGGAACTAGAAATGAGGGTTTAATGCCGTTGGCTACAGGGTGAGTTTGCATAGAGAGATAGGGAGTGCTTCTTGTGAGGTTCCTGTGTGGTGGGCAATATAAGGTCAGCAAGTGGAACTATCCCAGGTCCTCAGCTCTCTGGAGAAGAGGGTGGAATAGAAACAGTCTGAGAATCACAGGTTTCTGCACAATGCCTGAGAACAGATGAGCTCACGAGTCTCAAAGCAGGTGTTAGGGTGAGTATGACGTAGATTTTTTAGAAATACATGGTGTAAAAGTGCCTTTAAAAATAAGATCACCTATTGTGGCAGCAGCATCTAGAACAAATTATATGTAAAAGAACCAAAACTCAAAGCAACCCTTTAGGTCGAATGATTGTTAATTTGTTTGTTTTTCAGCCTGGTCTACTTGGCAACTTTCCTGGCCCTTATGTGGAGGAAATGAAGGGAATTGCAGATCTTACTGGCATACCTTTTGGTAAAGTTCATTTCTCAGCTCTTAAAAAATGTAATAAAGCACTGAAAATGTTTTCTATTGAGGTATGATACACATACAGTAAAGCGCACAGATCTGAAGTATACAGTTCAATAGAATTTTAAAAATACTTACATGCAAGTAATTGCAACTCAGATCCACATACAGACAATTCCAGCCACCCGGAATGCTCCGTCATACCCCTCATAGACGACAGGCAATACCTCGTCCCCAGGTGATGGCTGTTTTGACTTCAACCTCGATTAGTTCTGCCTCTTGAACTGCTTATAAATAGAACCAAACAGTTTGCACTATTGTGTTTGGCTGCTTCTACTTATTGTATGAATAGGAGATTTGGCTTGTTTCCAGGTTCTGGATATTAAGAATAAACAGTTATGAACATTCTTGTACATGTCTTTTGATGGGCATGCCAAAGCAAAAGCTCACACGGTGATGCTAGTCCAACCCTTTCTTAAAGAAGAATTTTCTAATAACGTCATGGTTCTGTATGTTAACGAAAAAATGTCCTATCTTTTCTCATAGGAGAGATTATTTCATTCAATATTTTCTATGAATTTTTTACCATTTGTACCTCAATCATAGCAGAGGACAAGAAAGGTAAGTATGCTGAGGAAGGGTGAGCACTGCCAAGCACAGGGTCAAAGAAGAAACTTCCAAATAAGTGGAACTAGAACGTATGAAATCTAGGCTTGCCATGCAGATGCTGTGTATGTTGCATACAGTGTATGGATCTTGGTAAAGTTTTAAAAGTGGGTTGAAAACTATCCTTACTTTAAGATCATCGTAATGCCCACTGATGTTTAATTCAGGCCCAGGAAACATGGGAAGCAGTGTCCCGGGACTGTCCTCATAGTCTACTCGTACCCACCTTCGTGGTTTGATATAAGTACCCACAGGGTGCATCATTACCCTGTGCGTAATGCCGTAATGACCCAGCCTTCCCTTGAAGCCCAGGACCAGTCTTCTCCCATCATTTCTCAGCCAAGGGGCCCCAGGTAGCCCCCCTCACTTTCCCATGTTTTTCTGGCAGATCCTCAGAGTACAGGGCACAGCGTGATTTGCCCCAATTCACTCTTATTTTTTACCTGTTCTTTGAGGGGCCCAGGTATTGGTGGCAATGCCCGAAGCATGTTTGCAGGTCACGTTAGGAGAGGCTAAAATAGCCGTGTTCGGGTAGGACCTTGTCGTAGTGGACCAAAGAATTACCATTGATCCTTTCCCCATATTCTTATCTTACCTGAAACCCTGTGTTCACGGGGATTATGGGGGATCTGGCTGATGTGGCAGGGACAGCAGTTTGGCTTATGGTGCCAGGATGTGGCTCATTATTGTTGGATTGAATAGCTGTGACTGTCATTTAACCAAAATTCAGTGTCCAGCTTTAAGATCAGTCTTACTGTCATAACTGCTCCTACATGTCTCTCTTGCTTTCTTTCAATTAGGTCATTTAGTACATGGGCGAAACATGGATTTTGGAATATTTCTTGGGTAAGTAAAGAAAATGGTATCAGTCCTTGAGAAGAATAGGTTTATTACAATGGTGAAAAGTCCCAGGTCACCCTCTAAGTATGGCCAGAAGTGACAAGAGAGGACTCCTGAGTTTTGAGAGAAGATGGTACACTCTGCTCAGTTATTGGCAAGTGCATAACTGAGTTGCACCTAGTGAACACAACTTTGCAGTGTGCTTGAAGGCCCAGATGCATGTCTAGTATATTGCTTCAAAGGAAGAAGAATAGCATTCCATTTTATGACTTCTTGCTCTATCTGGGGAAAAAAAATAACAGAGCTTTATAATTAGACAACTAAATTTGAATCTGGAGTTTGTTATTTATAGACTTATATGTTGGGAAAAGCCTTAACTTCTCTGAGCCTCGCTTTTGTCATGTGAAGAATGGAGGATAAAATCACCCATATTGTTCTTTTTTTATTGAATTTATTGGGGAGGCATTGGTTAATAAATTATATAGGCTTCAGTTGTACAGTTCTATAGCACATCATCTGTATACTGTATCATGTGTTCACTACCCCAAGTCAGGTCTCCTTCCATCTCCTTTATCCCCCTTTACCTTCTTCTCCCTCTCCCCACCCACTCGACATATCCAGCCACATCTGGTAATCTCTGTGCTGTTGTCTGTGCCTATGAGGATCAGTTTTCTTACTCCCTTACCTTTTCACCCAGCCCCCCAACCCCCTCCCCCGTGATGCAAAGTACTTGTTAGGATTGATTGTTAAGGATTAGATAGGTAAAGTACCTAGTATAATGCCTGGCCATCATCATCATACTCATTATCATCATTGTTCTTAAATGTCACTAAATTTGTCTTTTTAGGTGGAATATGAATAATAATACCTGGACCATAACTGAAGAGCTAAAACCTTTAACAGTGAATTTGGACTTCCAAAGAAATAATAAAACTGTCTTCAAGGCTGCAAGCTTTGCTGGCTATGTGGGCATGTTAACAGGATTCAAACCAGTAAGGCACCTACCATTACGTAATTTTACAGGTAGCTCTGTGTCCGGCTTTTACTCTCTGAGAAGGGTGGAGTCTAAGGAAATGAGGACCCCCCAAGTAGGTCTGCCCCTGTGCGTCCCTTTTAGTACATGGGCGAAACATGTACTTCCTGTCACCTTCATAGGTATGAGCTCCACGGCAGAGAAGGGTGGAAAGGAATGAAGGTTTCCCAGCCCGTTTCTGGAAAAGCATGTGGCTGGATGTCGAGGGCTGGGAACAGCAATCTGGAATCTGGTCCTGGGTCTGCCCCTTGGCACCTCAGGCATTAATTCTCTGCCCTGCAGTTAGTTAGAAAAGTGAGGCCAGTACCATCCCACCTACTTGTCTCACCCACGAGGTATGAAAATCCTTTGAACTTCCAGAAAAGCGGCTCATACAAGGTGGTACTGTCACGATTATTGTCTTTGCATTCCCCGTTACCCAGTCCAGGCCTCGATATACCATGTACAGTGCAGCGAGAGGGCCTGAAACAGAATGGTCCAAGTGTCTGACTTCACTCCCTTGTCTTCTCCTAGGGACTCTTTAGCCTTACACTAAATGAGCGTTTCAGCACAAATGGTGGTTTTATGGGTGAGTAGACAGCTGTTAAATGAAATGGAAATTTCATAGATGTTTTCAGAGGAGGGCTTGACTGTGCATTCTGGTGAACACTCTCACCTCTTCCAGCTCCCATAACACTGTGTGTGATCTCTTCCAGGTGTCTTAGAATGGATTTTGGGAAAGAAAGATGCTATGTGGATTGGGTTTCTCACTAGAGCAGTTCTGGAAAATAGTACAAGGTAATCCATTTGCTTTATTATCATATTTAGTATTTTATTTTAAAACTAGAGGCCCAGTGCACAATATTTGTGCACTGGGGGTTGTGGGGCTCCCTCAGCCCGACCTACACCCTCTCCAATCTGGGAGCCCTCAGGAGAGCGCTCTCCAATCCGGGAGTTTCTGTCTGTCTTTGCAGTCCTATGAGCAAATTGTCTGAGACCCAACTCAGTTTGGTTTGTTGCTCACAGAATAATAGATGCATCTTTTTTCTCTTTGCTTCATGTGTGGAGATTTTCTGGAAGTTTTAGGATATCTTCCCTTTAC